GAGGGGGGGGGGAGGTCAGGGTGGGGAGAAGGACGGGAAATAAGAAGACGCTAGAAGTATCCAAGGAAGGCAAAGGAAAGGGGAATGGAGAGAAGGGAAAGGAGAGGGGAGAAGAAAAGAGAATATGAGAATGAGAAAGAAATTCCAGGAGAGCTGTCAGGTGGAGATGGGATCCAGGACAGGCTGTATTACTTTTATCCCTTTAGTGTAGGAAGTAAAGCAAGTCCTTTAGGTGAGTAGAACCTGGACATATCCCACTATAACACAGGGTTGGAATAGCAGAGCAGTAAAGTCCTTCACATTTTGATATATAACACAGTTCAGTCTAGATACTGGGACCAATGTGTGGGGTGGGGGTGGTATTGGGGTGTATTCTTAACATCTTGGCCTTTTCCACTGCAGCTGCTCATATACAAGCCAGTAATCCTAAAATTCATATTTCTTTCTACTTGATTTGTTTTCCTTTTGTAGTGGGTGTGAAAATTACTTCTGAAGCAGTTTCTTTCTCAGACATCATTAGATGAGTCATCATCATAAACAGTGACACCCCACCCAAATTTTCGGCCTTCAAAGATCTTACAGCTCGGCTCAGTTCCTCAATTGTTTGTCTATTTTTACCACCTCCACCCCTTCTTTGATGTTTAAAAAGTATACCTTTGGTTAAGTGTTTTGACACTGATGCTAGTACTGACAGTAATATTTACTGGGCAGCCTATTAAACGGCATTCACTGTTTTAAAGGATACTTTTTAATCTTCACAACACCAGAAGTTAATTCTAATACTGCCCTCATTTTAGATAAGGAAAATGAGACAGGAAGTATTTAATTGTTATTTCACAGGTCATGAAACTGGGAAGTGGCAATCTTATAGTTGAGCCCAGATGTTCTTATAAATACTGTCATTGATATAGTACATTTTCATATTCATATCTTGTTTAAAATAATTGTCTCTTTTTAGAAACAGGAAACTAAGGTTCACATAGGCTAACTGGATTTCCTTAGAAACTCATTACCAGTAACTGAGAAGTTCTTGCACCATAGTGAAGTGGTTACAAGAATAAGCACAGTCTTTAGATGACTTCCACGTGCCAAAGAGTGCAGAGGAGAGTGCATAAGTAAAATGACAAGGGAAAGAAGCAATCCAAGAAGTGAACATTCCACAGCTTTTCTGTTCACTTTGACAGATCAATGCTTTTTCTAGAATGAAAGAGACTTAAAAGCCATAATTAAAGGCAATTTTCATACCTCATCTGGATTTTGGGTTTAACAAATTAGTGTTATGATTATAAAAGAAAATGTCTTTCATTTTAGAAATAGAATATATTTTTTTTTACAAATAGCCAAGTAATAGAGATAGTCTAGGTGTCCATCAGCAGATGGATAAGGAAAATGTGGTATAAAAACACAATGGAGTTTCACCCATCCATAAAGAAGAATGTGATTATGTCATGTGTTGGTACATGGATGTAACTGGGGAACATCATGTTAAGTGAAATAAGCCAGACTCAGGAAGTCAAGGGTTGAATGTTTCCTCTCATGCAAAAGCTAGAGAGAAAACAAGGAATTAAAAAGGCAGTTGGGGGGAGGGTCTTATGAAAACAGAAGGGAGAAAAGTAGAGTGGAAGCTTATGTAAACTTTTCAGATTACTTTATGAAATCCCATTCCAAATTTCTTTTATCTTCAGGGTATTAACCAGTTCCTTTCCTACCCTTTTCCTTAAATTTTACCATCTCTCACATCTCCATCTTAAATAAAGACCAAATTTTAACTCAAGGTAAGTAGAAGAACACACTTTTGAATTCTCAAACTACAGATTTTTCTATGGGTTTTAATATTTGCACTTGGACAGATCTCTCTTCTCTAAGCTATCCTTTCCCCCAAGTTTAAAAAAAAAAAATCTAGATATAACCTCTTTCCCACTGTAGTTGGGATTCGCAGTTAGAGATAATTTTCATAAAGTGTCAAGTGTAGTGACTGACACATAATGCTCTATAAAAGAAAGCTTTTATTATTGGGGTGATAATACTTGGTGGATAAATTATTTGCTAGGTTAATATCTCTGGGGAGTGCAAGGCCAGAGCTGAAGAAGGAAGTTCATCTCTTCCTCTACATAATTAATGATAGCTATGAAGATACTGTTGTAACTTGAACCTTTTTTAAATTAGTGTTTTAGCTGAACTACCTATTTCATCTTCAAGTCATCATGAGCTGTAAGAAACGCAGGTCACAGAAGAACTTGTTTGATGTGAAAAAAACCATGAAAATAGAGAACTATTTTTCTCAGGTATGTTTGTAAATACTATTTATATAATGAATATGCTAATGTTAGATTTAGCCATCCTTGAGTTTGTATTGCATAAATCTTCCTGCCAAGAAATCATATCATTATATATTGGAAATATTTATATAAGACCTTTCTCATCCACTTTGTGTATATATATATATATATATATATATAAAGTTTTGGTCATATCACACTAGCCCTTAAAAAAAAACTGGTAGTAATTCCTGGACAACCATAAAAACCAAATAACTATATTAAACTTTGGATAAAACAAAACCAAAATTAATCTATTTCACAGCACAGAAATACCATGCCAAGTGTGACTGATATACTGAATCATAATAACCTACATCTGTATAGTGCTTTATAGTTTTTGAAACAAATTATTTGCTTGTTTATTCTTACCATAACCATGTTAGTTAGGTAAAAGAGTTTACCTCTAATGTGTTTCCTTCAAAAGTTCCTATATGTGCCCAAGAATACTTTGACAAGTTGGAATTCTGTTACAGTGCTCCCATGGGGTACATGAGCAAGATGTTTCTGACAGCATTAGGCTTTAGAGATGCCTTTTGAAGATTTGAACACATAGCACAAGTAAATTTACATTAACTTGTGTTCTTTTTATCTCATTGACCCAGATTACTAGTATTTAACAAATCTACCCTATTACATGCCAGTCATGTTGCTAGGCTGTGCTACACAATGATGTTAGGCCTAGTCTTTATGACAATCCTGGCTTTGTTATTCCCATTACCAGAATGTAGCCTTGCTAGCATATGACCCCATGCCTTTTCATACCCTCACCGTAATGAGTAGGACTTCAGGAAAATGTACCTTTTAGACATAGGTACATTTTCCTGAAGTCCTATTCATAAGCAGTTGCTCTTAATTTTTCATTAATTTTTTTGTGCTGTTTGACTAATCCTCTTTAATTCCTTCCCCTTCCCCAACTCCTGGTTCTTAAGATGATACCCTATAAAAATCTGTATTATGCATGCTTGTAATCCCAGTGGTTTGGGAGGCTGAGACAGGAGGATCATAAATTCAAAGCCAGCCTCAGCAAAAGTGAGGCACTAATCAACTCAGCGAGACCCTGTCTCTAAATAGAATATAAAATAGGGCTGGGGATGTGGCTTATGGGGCAAGTGCCACTGATTTCAATTCCTGGTATCCTGCCCCCCCCAAAAAAAAATGAGTGTCATGAATGCAAATTTTACCAAGAAAAAATGTTTGGTGTCATGGAAAGGAATATTAGACTTAAGTGTTGGTACTCTGGCACTCACTTCATTTAGTGGTTATTACATGATGCTAGGAAAGGCACTAACAAGAAAAACTTTCTATACCTAAGTTTCTCCATCAAAAAGACAAAGAGAGGCCATATTTGTTTCTTCTCAATTCATAGAATTTGGGGATTAATTGATGTCGTAGAGGAAATAAGTTTTTTGCATGATAGGTTCTGAGTGAATGAAGGTATTCATTATTGGAAATAACTATTTGTATGACCAGATAATTAGTTAGCTAATGAGGATTTTGTTTAAAATGTAATGACTAATAATAAATCATGGTGACTTATTTTTGCTGAACTTGGTATTTTTTTAAAATTTTGGTTTTAATTTTTAGTTGTTGATGGACCTTTATTTTATTTACTTATTTTTATGTGGGTGCTGAGAATCGAACCCCGTGCCTCACTCATGTGAAGCAAATGCTCTACCAATGAGCTACAACTCCAGCCCATGAACTTGGTATTTTAAGAACAAAATTTTTGGTGCAGTTTATCACTGTGTTTGAGAAAAGTAAAAATTTTACAGCTGAGAATAGTAAACAAGACATGAAGTGACACTTTAAGGAAGCTGGTAGCTTTTTAAGCATGTGTCTCAGAAAAATGACCAGTGTATCATATTAGGAGCTTATCTGACTGATGTGACAGTCTGCTCAGCTTATATTCTAGAGCTGAAGTTAAACTCAGATCTAATTATATTCACTGGTTTTTTTGAGTATGAGTTTCCCATAGAAATTCTGTGAATTGCATATTTAGAAAGGAAACAAGCAACAACAACAACAAACTAGGATTCTATTCAGAGTCTCAAGATTTTTCTTCTAACATACATTTTTAGGACCCCAAAGAACAGCAGAATAATTCTGGTATTATTCAAATGAAGATGCAATCTAGAAAAAGGCCAAGAGATATAACTAACACCCAGGATCAAAATTCCCACTCACCCAGGAAAACTCCAAAAGTCCAGACCACTTCTCCAAACAAGATCATTACTATTACCTTGGATGTAAACCTTGGAGAAATGGAGAAGAGGAAACACATACTCATACACAGCGAGGGGGACAGCTTGCTGGCGGGGCTCAAAACCCTTGATGCTGTCAGAAAAGCTATGGAGACTCGGCCAGGTAAGGAAATGCTGGTGCGTGGCACAGAAGGAATTGAAGGCTTCTTAAACCTGGGAATGCCACTCAGTTGTTTTCCTGAAAACAGCCACGTGGTAATTACATTTTCCAAAAGTAAAAGCAAGCAGAAAGAAGATGGCCAAGTATTTGGCCGGCTCAACCAGGAATCTACTGACGTGGTCAAATTTTACATTCATGCAATTGGGAAGACCAGAAAACGAATTGTGAAGTGTGGGGAACTTCACAAAGAAGGAAACAAACTCTGTGTCTATGGTTTCAAAGGAGAAACCATTAAGGACACCATGTGCAAGGATGGAAGGTTTCTTCCCTTTTTGGAGACTGACAGTTGGAAGCTCATTGGTAACCTGGACTCCATTCTAGAAAACTCACAGCTGATAGATGAGTTAGAAGGTAAGCTCTTTCAAGTTGAGGCTAAGAAAGTAATGAACCCTAAGGCAGAAGCTGCTCAAAACAATGAGTTAGAAGAAAGAAACACCCGTGTGTTGAAAGAGTACATTGTGGAAGAGTATCCCTGTTTGAAAAGAGAAAGTGAAAAAATCAGGGAAAACTTGAAGGAAAAAATGAAAAAAAGACAGAAGAATACTTCTCTATTTGAATTGCATAAAACAAATTTTGGGAAACGCACAAAAAACTCAACTCCAGTGAAAGTGATCAAACATCTTTCACAACTCAGTGACTCAGTGGGGTACATATTCTGGAACAATAATGGAAATGAAGGCTGTGCCACCTGCTTTGTTTTTAAGGGATTGTTCATTTTCACTTGTCGGCATGTAATAAACGATATCGTGGGAGAAGGAATAGAGCCAAGCCAGTGGGCAGATATAATCAGTCAATGTGTAATGGTGAAATTCGATTATGAAGATACCCCAGTCACAAAAGACAACTGCTTTCTCGTTGAACCTTGGTTTGAGATATCTGACACAACTCTTGACTACGCCGTCCTGAAACTGAAAGAAAACGGACAAGAAGTACCTGCGGGACTGTATAATGGGATTGGTCCTATACCGTCTAGTGGTTTGATATATATTATTGGCCATCCAGAAGGAGAAAAGAAGCATACTGATGCTTGTGTTGTGATTCCTCAGGGTAAACGAGAAGAGAAATGTAAGGAAAAGATTCAGATGAGAACAGCAGCAGGTTACGATAAATCTGAGTTTGTCCACATGTACACTCCAAGAAGCTTCCAGGAAATGCTTCAAAATCCTGATGTGATTACCTATGACACCACCTTTTTTTTTGGGTCTTCTGGCTCTCCGGTGTTTGATTCCAAAGGTTCCTTGGTGGCCATGCATGCTGCTGGCACCACATTTCCGATACTGAGAGAGAAGGCTCATATCATTGAGTTTGGTCCGGCTATGAACAGTATCGTCTCAAATATTAAGCAAAACCATGAAAGATGGTATAATGATGTATTTCTAAACCAACAGGATGTAGAAATGCCAAGTCAAGAGTACTGAGGACTGGTGAGAATTTAGTCCACTTACCAACTTTAAGGGGATTGCCTATTTTATTCCATATTCCATGGTCAATTTCATAAAACATATGAATAATCAATATTGTAGGCCACTTTCCATGAGCCAAGCATTTTTCTATCCCCTAGAGAAATAAGTTCTAAGAACCCTATGAGGAGGAGAGCTACCCCTATTTTAAAGTCAAGCAAAATGAAGACTTGATATGATTTAGCAACATTTATGATGACAATCTCCAGTAACTTGATGTTTTTTTTTTTTTCATTTCTTCCCCTAAATTCACTTGCTTCACAGCAGAAGCTTAAACTTGTTTACCAATTATCCTCTATATCTGACACATGGAAAGGAAATGCTTAGAAAAATGTGTGGGTCAATCAGGAGCAAAATATGGCACTGTAGTTAATGTTAACTGAAGAGTTAAATGCTTGGTTAGAAATGATTACAAACGAAAAACTTTTACAATTTCTGAGATTCTCATATTACTAAATGTCAGAATACACTTGTCCTGGAAAGTCAGAAGTAATATCCACTCTTTGGTGAAGGCGTTCCTGTAGCCACTGTCTGACAGGGTCACCGTGTGGGGGATGCTGCAGCCGGGCCGCACCATCTAGAAACTGGAACCATTAGAAATGTTAAGTGTTTTGTTTATGATCCTCATGATATGGATAACAGGGCATACGTCAATCAATAATAAAAGTACGTATTGCCTGAGATTGCAGGAAAATTCCCAGAATGAGACTAAGTTTACAATTGAGACATGCCATGAGGTGCATTTCAATCTCTCTCAGGATACAAACAATGTTATTCCTCAAGCCTGAGCAACAAGAAATATTTATCCCATGGTTAACAATTTACATTAGCCCCCCCAACCCCATCCTAAAGCCACAACCTGTACAATAGCCTAGCTACAGAAAAACAATTGCTGTGCCAACAGTTACACGGACTACCGTATGTAGCTTATGGTATCCCCCTCCAGGACAAGAGGCTAATAAAAATACATTTCCCCTACCAATAGACCCTCCTTGGCCTTACACAGAAACTAATGATAAAAATGGAAAACACATAGTTAGCATAAATGACAAATGGGTTGAGGGATAAAGCCTGCCCTTTAGTTAAAGCTTACAAAGACATAAAAATTGATGTGCTTTGACCAAGGATCAAGGAAGTTCTTTAAGAAAGCAGTTGAATAGATCATATGAAAAAAAGAAATTACCTTGGAAATTAAAAATAGAATAATGTAAAATTAACATAGATATATTTTAGAGGTATTTCAGAGTAGTAGGCTTTTAAATAACAGACTTTCACTACTTTAAGTGTGTTTTACTGAGCTTTTAGTTTAGAAGTAAGAAAGCTTACCAATAATAAGTGTGCTTTAAAGTTAAAGATTAATGAAATAATTATAGGTATGCTTTAAAATCAGAAGTGAATAATAGATCAGTAGTCATATAGTCTAGTTGCGTCGCCTAGCACCTAGTGATTGAGGTGAAAACGTAAAAGTTTAATCATGATTGACTAAGGTTACAGAAAAATATTTTGAACAATGTACTCAATATCTTAGGTAATCAATGTATGTTAGAAAAGATTGTAATTCTTGAAAATTATGTAAATCAAAAAAATTTCAGACTTTGAAGCTATCCATTAACTACCTGAAAAAAACACCTGTAAAAAAAAGGTATAAAAATAAAGGTCCCTCCAGGGGTAGCAGAGATGTCTTCTGGAGGTTGCTCGGAACTTGTAACCTGTCGTCCCGACTCTTCTTTCGATGATGCCACTCCTCCTTCAGGACCCCTGGAACCCCACTCCCCCTGGCCAGGGCTGGACCTCGGCAACTCTTCCCATATGAACAGGCTACGAGCACAAGGACATCTAGAAGGTCATATTCCTTTATTCTGATTTCCTTTGTTTTAACCTAATGTCCTTTTTTCTGTTCCAAGATCCCACCCAGTGTAGGCATCACATTTAACTTTCATGTCCGTGGGCTCCTCTTGATTGTGACAGTTTCTCAGACTTCTTGGTTTTAAGGCTGCCCGTCTATTAGAATTTGACAGATGCTTTTCTGATGGGACTGGGTTGTGGACTGGGGAGGAAGTTTATGGAATGAAGTATCATTCTCACCCTACCAAGGGATCATACTGTCAACATGATCCTTCATTGGTGCTGGCCTTTGTCCCCCGGCTAAAAAGGTGTTTTATCATTCACGTATTACCCTACGTGGTACTCTTTGGAAGGAAGTTACTATGCACAACCCATGTTTGTGAAGTAGAGACTTAGGTTCTCCTTCCTTAGGTAGGGGACTCCTGGAGAATCTACATAATTTATTTGGGATCATTTCGCATGGAGATTTGTCTCTTTTCCCCATTCATGAATTCCATCATCAGTACAGACTCGCAATACCCTTAACTCCATGTGGATCCATAACCACATGGATCGTTTTCACTCCCTCCCTTTGCCTACCTATAAATTCTCTACTCCACCCACAGAAAATAGAATTTTTATCATACCTCAGTCATTTATTTAACTGTTTGATTCTGGTATGCAGTTGGCACAGTGGTGCACACCTGTAATCCCAGGGAATTGAGACACTGAGGCAGTGCAAACTCAAGGCCAGCCTGAGCAACTTAGCAGGACCCTCAGCAACTTAATGAGACCCTGGCTCAAAATAAAATATAAAAAGTGCTGGGATGTAGCTCAGTGGTAAAGCACAGAAGCAAAATGTATCCAGAAGAGAAATATATCAACAAAAATGTAGTGTTTGTGTGCAATTTCTTTTGCTTTTAATCTTCATACTCCATTCCTTCCCAAAGTTACGTAAGTCAGGACCTTTTCCCTCAGCTCTTTGGAGTTATTTCATTCATTTATAATGCAGTTGTAATACAATACCTTTAGACTGGTCACAGCCTGCATACATTCTTCCCTTTGATCTTTTGAACTCCTAAATGAATTTTTAAAGTTGTGTATACTAATGATTTGCTTTTCTGTGCTCTCAAATTCTATAGGTTTTAGCAAGTACATGATATCATGTATTCACCATTGCAACGTCATACAGAGTAGTTTCGCCTCCCTAAAAATTTCCCTGTGCTTTACCTGCCTGTCCCTTCCCTCCCTCCTGCACCCCTGGCAATCACTGATCTTTTTTATTGCCTTTATAGTTTTACTCTTTCCAGAATGTCATGTAACTATAGTTTCACAGTATATAGCATTTTCAGTTTGGCTGTTTCATTTAGAAGGTTTCTCTCTGTGTATTTTATGGCTTGATAGCCCACTTCTTTTTATCACTGAGTAATATTCCACTGTATGGATCTACCACGATTTGTTTATTTGCTCACCTTTCAAAAGATGTCTTAGTTGCTTCTAGTTTTCGGTGATTTTATGAATAAAGCTTCTCCAAACATTTGTGTATGCTTTTGGTATGAATGTAAGTTTTCAATTCATCTGGGAAAATACTGAGTGCAATTGATGGGTCGTATAGTAAGAGAATGTTTGGCTTTGTAAGAATTTGCCAAACAGTCTACTAAAGGAACTCTGTCATTCTGCATTCCCACTAACAGTGAATGAGAGATCCTGTTTCCCCATCCTCACCAGCACTTGGAATGGTCAGTTTTTCTTTTCTTATTTTTTAATATTTTATTTGTTCTCTTTAGTTATACATTACAGTAGGATGTATTTGGACATATTATACATATACAGTAGTCAGTTTTTCTTGTCTTTTTTTAAAAGGCATATTAATACTGCCTGGGATTCTTCAGGGGATACAAGGTTTATTAATGAAGTTGGGAATGTCTTGGATGATCTAGGACATGGCTACAGAGTTATAATATCAGCCCAAGTTCAGTCAGGAAAATGGGACTGCTATAGTTTAAGAATAAGGTATTTAATAAAGAATTAGGGTATTGCCTAGTACAATGATGAACACTTATAATCCCAGCAACCTGGGAAACTGACTTAGAAGGTTTAAGGCCAGCCTCAGCAACTAAGTGAGACCCTGTCTCAAGATAAAAAGAGCTGGGGATTAGCTCCAAGGCAAAGCCTCCCTGGGTTCAATCCCCAGGATCCCCCCTCCAAAAAAATAGGAAATAGAGAATTAAGGTTTCTGTGAGTAGTAGGGGCAGGAAAAGAAGTTCTGTACTGTCAGTATATGTCAACCTAAAGCATCAGAAGGAGGAGAAAAGTTTCAGATCAAAGTGGAAATGTCTGAGGGGATGCCATGTCCGGTCATGATGACACTAAGGAATTTACAAAGAGATTGCAAAGTGTATACTAATGTTTTGCTTTTTGTGCTGTCAAATTATATAGGCTGCACCAGACCCAATACAGGTGAGCTGGTGGAGATACCACAGGGTCCTTTCTGACTGCTATGTTCTCCCAAGAAATATCGACTAGCACTTTTTTTCCTTACACATTTTTCCCATTTGCAAATGCTCATCCAGAACCCTACAGGAATTCTGGGGGAAATAGCCGTCTGCTTTATAAGGCAGTAGCGGTGCTGCCTGGCAACAGATAACTACCCCCACACCCCCAAATGCAACCCATGCACATGTATATCATAGTTTATCTTCTCATCTCTAATCCCTTCATATCCTCACTCTCCACTTGGCCATTGTAGCTGTTGTGCCAGCATCCCTCTTACCCCTCTGGATTATTCCACAATCATTACTTCTAACCCTCTGTCTCACATGAGCATATTTCTACAAGTCCAACCACTAGACACAGCACCCTCCGACCCAGCTTGTTGAAGCTCAAGTTGTGCCGACTGACCCCCAACCCCAACCCAGTTCTACCTCTCTCCTGATCACAACCCCATCATCCAGACCAAAAAAAAAAAAATTCAGACTAGAGTCCCCGGAGGCACTTTTAAAATACTTTCCCTCATCTTCCAAGTATACATGGTCTCCAAGTCTTGTGGAATCTGTGGTTTTCCTCAAATGCGAGCCGTCTTTCCAATTCTTCACTTCTTTCCGTCTCTTCCATCAAAAACATTACCGTGGTAGCCAACTTTTACTGTAAGTCTTAATTTTTAGGGCTTTGCTAAAAGTTTACGTAAAATATCATGATTGACCTCTGACATAATCTGAGGAGGTGAGTATTGTAGTCTTCTCAATGCTACAGATGTAAGATCATCCCCAGCCAGGGAGCAGGTTTGGGGACCACAGGGGTCTGGTTTTCAAAGCCTGGAACCACAGAGCTCACTGAGTGTCATCTAGAACCTGAAAGTCTGTCCTAGATTGCCAGAAGCTCTAAGCTGAATTCTTTCTTCTGGCTTCCCTGAGGACAAAGTGTCAGAAGATGCAAATATCTGGAAACCCCTGAGAAGAAGCTGGGGTGGCAGGCCAAAGGGTGAGGAGAAAGAAGCTCATCCGTTCTCCCAATGGGGAGGGAGCCCATTTCAAGGAGAGTGCCTCATTTGACCCACCTCTCTCTCCCTCCCTTCTTTGCTGGAGGCAAACTCACCCAGGCCTTTGGGCCACTTGTTTTCCAGTGCCTCGGTCTCCGAAGGCCCTGCCTGTGCTCCACTAAACGTCTGGCCTCCCGTCTCAGGACTTGGGACTGGAGTGCTTGCTGCAAGGACAGACACAAGAACCATGAGCCGAGAAGGAGACCAGGTCTCGCTGCATGGTGTGGGCCCCTGGGAGTCCCTGGACTTGAAGTGTCATGAAGACCAAGCAGGGAAGGGGACTGTTCTACTCAGGGGGATATAGGGTGAAGTGGGGGGTGGTAGTTGGAAAGCCAAGAGCAAGTCTCAGCAGCCATGACACCCAGCTTCCTTGGAGAGAAGGGAAGGATGTGATGAGGAAGCAACCACACGGTGGTCATCAGACTGGGTCAGGGAGAAAGACTGCACTGGGTGTCAGCCAGAGCCAGGTGGCCAGAGGAACTGAGCGAAAGGAGAGGGAGTGGATGAGATGCTCCGGGCAGGTGGAGAGCAGGGACAGGACCCACCTGCCGCTATGTTGATGCCTTTAGTCCACCAATACTGATTTATGTGCTGGGTGTGTCTTTACCCATGGCAGTAGAGAAAAGCTGGCATAGTCCTTTCCCACAATTCCCTGTCTTCTTCAGACATCTCCTAGGGTTACTGTATGATTACACCTTTTCCCTACTCTGTGTATCATTCCCTAAAGGTTTATTCCTGGACCAAAATTCAGTGTGATCATTTGAATATCTTATGAAGGATGAAACAGGGAAAAAAAGGAATACCACCTCTCAGCCTGAATATCCTCATTATTTTCAGATTATTCCATGTTTGCAAATTTGCCCACACCATAAAATTAATCTGTAACCCCTCAAAATTAAACACCTGTGGTGCTTTCCCTGGCTTGCAAAAATGCACAAGTGGTGGAAACTTCAAGTTGCCTGTGGCACACATTCCCAGCTGAGGTGAAACAAGACCATATGAGAGCTAAAAGAAGTTCAGACTTCTTTTAGCTCTCATACTATACACAGCTGTCCTTGCCAGTGTAGATTTTACCCTACATTCTTTGCAGTTTTTGATTGTTTGGTGATTTTGCTGTTTAAATGGCCCCCAGGCATAATGTTAAAATTCTGCCTAGAGTTTTAAGCAAAAGAAAGTTTTGATATGCCTTATAGAGAACATATATGTGTGGGTAAGGTGGGTTCAGACGTGAGTTACAGCTCAGTTGGCAGTGAGTTCAATGTTAATGAATCATACCACAAATTAAATAAGTTGTCTTTTCACAGGAACACATGTAAAATTGTTACATATTGTCTGATTGATAAAAATGATGTGACCAGAGATTAACAAATTTAACCCTGTGTTACCCCAAAGAACTGTGGCCCAAATATTCTCTTCTAATTTAGTATTGACAGCAACTTCATACAACATAACCAATACAAATAATGAGAATGGAGTGTATATCATTTCAAATATAGTTGCAAGTGTCTGATCATCATAGGGACTTAAATTTATGTGGCTTTACTGTTTGTTGAACAATTCCTGATATATTATTTCAACACCTGCTAAATAGGCAGAGCAGATGTTGCTATGTGTGCTTTTTGTGTGAGAAGGAAGGATAACTGAGTTGTTGCCCAAATTGCTGGTACCTAGGAAAAGATCAGGACTTAGTCATGAAGTATAGTTCACTGCTCTTTCTGCTAATTGAGCTGTTTCATCAAACCAAGATACGGCTGTGTCCATTACTGCATCCAAAGTAAATCCACCCCTTGCCCTCTTAAGAAACATTGTAACCTTTCTAAAATAATTAATACCTTTATCTGATTTTCTTTTTCCTATCTCTAAAAACAAGGTTACTTGGAAAATCCAATGTCAGCCAACACTTACTACCACCCACTCTGCTCTAATTCCCAGTTATTAGAGCAGTATCCCTAGTCCACTATTGCATTCTACTCCAAAGCTCTTCTTGGCAATGAGACAAGGCTGAAGGGATGTTATTGCATTAATTCGGGGCCTCCCCAAAACACGTTCAAGTCCTCATCCTGGGTATGCATGTATGTGACCTTATTTGGATAAAAAGGGTTTGCAGATATATTAAATTAAGGATCTTTAGATGAGAATATCTTGGATTAACCAGGTGGCTCTAAATTCAACAGTGTTCTTGTAAGAGGAGGAGAAGTGCAGAGGAGAGAAACCACCATATAAAGATGGAGGCAGACATTACAGTGCTAAACCTACAGACAGCCCTCAACTTACAGAGGGGTGACATCCTGAGAAGCTGGGTGTCATGCCTGCTGAGACTTGCTGTTGGCTTCTCCAACTACACTTCCCACAGTACGCTTGAAATACTGTCAGTCAAAACTGCATTTCATATACCTAAATTACCAAACATCCAGGCTTAGCTGGCCTGCCTTAAATGTGCTCAGAACACTTACTTTAGCCTATGGTTGGGCAAAATCATCTAACACTGTCTATATTATAAATAAGTTTTGAATGTCTTGTGTAATTTCTTGACTTCAAATCTCTATAGAGTGCAGTATTTTCTCTTCACATTCATGATTGTGCAGCTGACTGGGAGCTGCAGATCCAGCAACTCCCCAGCATCAAGAGAAAGTATCATACCCCATGTTGCTACCGAGGGTAAAAATAAAAATTCAAAATTTGGAGTGCCATACTGAATGCACATTGCTTTCAGACTACCACAAAGTCAAAACCCCATAAGTCAAATCATCATTAAGTTAAGGACCCTTTGTACAAGCCAAGGGATGCCAAGGATTGTCAGAGTCAAGAAGAGATGCATGGAGCAGGACCCCCTCAAAGTCTCTGTAAGGAACCAACCCTGCTGACACCTCAATTTCAGACTTCTGGATTACAGTCTGTGTGTAAGGGGAATAGATTTCTCTTGGAAGCCACTAAGTTTGTGGTACATTGTTGCAAGCTTGGTAGCTTAAAAAAATAAAAAGTTTAAATCTATTCTCTCA